ATATTTGGATATATAAGACTGGAAATTAGGGAAAATTATGGTTTCAACTCGCAGTCCATCAGAATTATGGGAACCAAAGATGTGAATGCTTAGTTATCTCCATGAAACGTTTTCTATAAGATATACTACTATCTATGACGCAGTAGGCAGATGTTTTTCAACGAAGAGTGCAGTCCGGAATTTGGTAATTACTACTTCTTTCGAAGACATTGACATCTAAGACGTTCAAAAAATGACCAGGCGATAATTAAAAGCATATCGAGTTATATTTGAAATTAGACTACAAAACTTTTTCCGTAAGTAGCAGAAAAAGGGGAATAAAAACGAAATGCTCCTTCCGCCTGTGATCGTTCTTCATCGCCTCTCGCCATTGCACACTTTTTAGTAACTAGCGTTTTCCATAGGGCATGTGTTCCTGATTCCCTTTTCGCCGTTATAATTGTGAGTGCCTTGAAGCTACATCTAAACAAACAATCGTAATATTCATTTCTTTACTATGGGTAAGAAAAGGAAATTAATGCTTTTTATTTACATTGTTTTCAGATGAGTTCAGAATTTTCAATGGCATTTTTTGTTACTCGTTCGATAGAAAGTCTCATTCCTAGTAAAGTTGTCAACTGCACAGCTTCTTTGAAATTCATCAAAATATTTCAAAGCAAAGCTAGCATGAACTCGCCTTTTTCTTTGATTCTTGTTACATCTTTGCAAAACGTTCTCTTAGGAGGCTTCTTCGGAGGACCGCTGACAGCTGCACAACATAATCTCAAATGCATAAATTTGAAAGTCCCTAACAAAATTCTGAATCATGTGCAGGTTGTTCATAAATTCGCTGCATATCTGATTAGGATATCTCTTATATCTCAGCTAGCTTATAGATGCATAAAACAAGAGGGTAAGGAATCAACTAAACTAGCAATGCTGGTATACGGTTGCATTTACCACTGATTATTTCCAGAATATCTTCAATCAGAAACATTTGCTCATTTTTTCTAGTAAACTTTTATATTACGTAAAACCACCATCACTGTTTTTGTTTTGTTTATACTATCACTTTATGCTGGACGTTGAGGTGGTGAACACCGATGGGTAATGTAAATTGACTGATAGGTAACATTGTTGCAAGGTTTCACCTCAATCTATAAAATACAGGGTGCTCCGAAAGAATGTGGTCACTGGAAGTCCGTTCTCTTATTTACATATCTTTTGCCTTCGGCGGTAGAACTACGATATGGAGTTATATTTGTCTTTAGTAGTAGTAAAACTTGGCATTTGTCCGAAGACATTTAAATAGCAAGGGAGCAACGGCAGCGCTGAGGCCACCTATGAAATTATGCCGTAAATTTACTGTATGGACAGAAATGCAATGTTTGTAAAGATTTGAACTAACGTTTGGAACTGAAGCGTTGACGCCTAGAAAAGGCTTCAAAGAGTAAAAATTATTAGAAATTTTCTCTTGTAATGCGTCGATTAGGTTGTGGTGCATCTATCGCGTATCTGATTGAGAGATATTACAGGCCAGGTATTGTCAGTAAATGTAGCTGGCAAAGTGCTGATGAAGTCCTTTCTATCTGGCATGCCTGAATGCAAATTTGGGATTAATGATAAGATTACGCTACAACAGTCGAGCTCCCGAAGTCAGTATGATGATCCCACTAAACCGTAAGCATTTTGTGCTTTTTAATTCTATTCACTGCTTTCTTTCTGTATTACATGGAATATAGAGCTCGCACAATGGTCGCTATAGATGACATTCAATTCCATCAATGTGTTCGATTAGGCAAATTTGAAAGTGATCGAGCAATTTCCTTTATTCCTCCGGATGGGACGTGTGAATTAATAAAATATCGCACTACTCAAGACATAAAACTTCCTTTTCGGTATGTTTCAATAACTCTTCCATTGTTTTCTCTGTATCACTTCTGTCTTAACAAGCAGTCGCGATTTGCTCGATCAAAAGTTCTCACTCCATTGCAGAATCATTCCTTTGGTAAAAGAGGTCGGCAAGTCGAAACTGGAAATCAAAGTTGTTCTCAAGGCTGAGTACAAACAAAATCTTGTCGGGCAAAAGATCGAGGTAAAATTTCACTCATTCCATATTAAATTTTCAGTGAATCTAAGAGCATCTGTCAGGACAACCAGTCAACACTCAAACGAATTTGAGGTAGCATGTTATCATTTGCTTGCAGAGATGCATCAATGAGTTTTACCGCGTTTGAAGAAAAAAGGTCCAAATGTTTGAAGTCTTACTAGCAAAAAGTTCGTTATGCTCCGCAATGTGTAAGACCCGCTTCCCTCTCCTCTCTCTCTTCATCTCCTCCCCTTCCCCCACCTCCCTCCGTACACATTGACCAAAAATAAGTGTGATCTGGCTGCCTTCGAACCATGCCCATCTCTTATTTGGAACTCTATGCCTTTCCATCTCTTTTTTTTTCGTACAGGTTCGAATTCCAACACCGCCGAATACGTGTGGCGCAAATCTGTTATGTATGAAAGGAAAGGCGAAATACAAAGCCGGTGAGAATGCCATAGTTTGGAAGGTAATATTAATATATTCAGTAGTTTTATGTCGTTCTTAGCGTAGGTAGCCGTTGTCGCGTACCTCAGATAACTTAATTTTTATAGATTAAGCGCTTAGCGGGCGGAAAAGAAGTCCAAATATCTGCTGAAGTCGATATTCTCACTATTGGAGTGCAGGTACACCAGTATCAAGTGTATAGCTCATCCCTTTAGAGTGGTTGCAGCACTTTTGATAAGGACATTTCGTTTGTCTTTTTTACAGCTGAAGCTGCATTGACCCTCTTATGACTTAGAATTCATGAGTGTAGTAACCGAGGAACAACCTATTTCACTTTTATTTTATTCTAAAATCGTAATGAGACAACAATCTTTGTCCAGAAGGATCTGAAGCAGTTGGGTCTGGTCGCCAAAATGTCATATCATGAGCTCTCGATTCCCGCAATAACATTCGGCTAACAGACATTTGTAATCCTTTTTTTGTTTGCTTTGGGATGTTTGAAAGCTTATAAAATAGCATTTAGTATAGTATGTATAAATAGAAGAATACTACCTGAACGATTCTCTTGCTTAGGTGGCCTTTCTAATGGATTGAAAAGGTGAAGGATGAAAATTGTGGTTTAATTTTTCCACCCCCTCCCACTCCCTCCTCTTTTCAACTGCTTACAAGATGTACTCTTGCTTTTTATATAAGCTCTTTTCCAGGCTCTGAAGCGATGGGACAGACCACCAGTTAGCGTTAATTTTGAAGTACCTTTTGCTCCAAGCGGTTTCAAGGTCATTTTGTAGAGCATCTTTTCATCATTTCTTTTTCAATTTTTATTTCGTACAGGTTCGGTATCTGAAAGTATTCGAATCGAAACTGAACTATTCCGATCATGATGTCATCAAGTGGGTTCGTTATATGGGAAGATCTGGTTTATACGAAACGCGATGCTGACTAGCATGAGGAAGTTATGCCTACGATATGGTATGAAATGTGTGAAATGTGATCCGATGGTGCTGTTTCTATTCGCCATTCCAACTGCTTAAACAACGGAATTTTCCATTGAAATTCTACGTTTGATGTTATTCTTTATAGGAAGGAGTGCAATTTCAAGAGTTAGTTTTGAAACGCATTGCCTCTTGGTACCAAAATGCCAAGAAATAGAAAATTATTGTGCTTTTTCAGAAACTTTACTTCGTATATTTCGTATCGTATATTTCTATTTACCTCTGTCTATGAACATTCTGGGCCCATAAGTCTATGTGATTCAGCCTCCGCTTTATCTTTCTATTCCATTATAACTCTTTCTGTTTCTATTTAAATTGTTGGGTTTTTCTCCAAATGCGTCAAGATTTGCGAATTTTGCGTTGAGCTCTGGCTGTGATCGAAGCACTTTTTGTTCTTTTAATGGATTTCAATGTTGTGCAATTTCTTACTGAGCTCTGATCTTGTGATAGCTTTTCGTTTCGAATAATCGTTACGGTTTTCCTCTCAAGTGCTCACTTCAGTGATCATATCAGATTTATATGCTATGAATAAACAATGATTTTCGGCCTCGTAAAAAGCGTTTAGGGCTCAAAGTTAGCTCAAGCTTAATGGCACTATGCATAATGATATCATAAACTGAGATTGATCAGCCGAGCGACTGTGTTGTACATGTGGAGAGTAGTTGTCCAAGAACTCTTGAAAGATTTTTCCCAATTCTGTATCATCGCTTTGTTAAGGTACTGGAGCCGCTTCCTGGCGCTTTGTCTAGAAAAAGTGTGTGTAAGTTCCCTCCAAAGGTACCCTAGCCAAAGCGCCGCTGCGCGGAATGTGTGTAAATTCCCTCTGAAAGTACCCTAGCCAAAGCACAAAAATCATTTCAACTTTCCGGAGCGCAGCTTAGCGGCGCTCCACAATGTTGGAATGATTTCTGCGGAATTGAGACAAATTGGTTATGCTAGCCTATTTCGATTTGCAGAAAGCCTAAAGGAGTTCTGGTAGTTGAAAAAGAGTATAAATAGCATAGCAAAAATAGTCGCTATCCATATACATTTCTCCGTAGATCTTTCTCTAAAAATGAGAATAACTGGATTCAACCATTTGTTGCACAACTTCTGAAAAGGCCATAAAATGCCGTAGTGTTTCAATCTCCTTTCTGTAAAGTAAATTCTTCGGGCTTTTGGCGACAGCAAATGTACACTTCATATATGAAAGTAGATGTGGACTCTTACAAAGATAAATGAGATTTCTCGACATAAATATTTGTAGCGAAAAATGGATACTCAAGGGATTCTTTGCCTTTTTGACTTTGTTTAGCAAATTACACAAATGCGTAAAACTCTTATA